TTCTAGTGGAAATCCAATGTTAAAAGTGACTCATTTGCAGTATCACAATTACAGTCTTAAGCCTGTACCTGGAACCACCCATTTACTTGTAGGTAAGTCTCATTTATTTAAAGTAAATACCATTTATTTTTGGACACAACAAATGTGGTAAACAATTCCTAATTGCTAATTTTGTGTCTGCTTTAGTCTGCAATCCCAAGCATATATCCCTGGAACTGAAAGTAAGCCCTATTGAATTTGGAAGTTTTCTGATTAAACTCACTCAGGATTGGTCTGATTAGTACATTACTGTAGGTTAGTACACTACCTTTGACAAGCTGAACAGCAGCAACTCTAAGACTGTTATGGCTTAAATTGCAGCAGGGTCAGTTGCTCCCACTGCATTTCAAGTTTCATTTGCTGCACCACATCAGGGAGTTGGCAAGGGTGTCTTCACCCAATAAACAATATCTGATCTGTTTCCCCAGCTTTGCAGTCCCTCCAACTCATATTCGAGGAATATGGCACAGGACACATATGGATTGTGCCAACGTCACATGTACTCAGCTTCAAACACCAGTAGTGGGAGTGCACTGAAGCCAGAGTGTGTGTGCAAGAGATCAGTTGCAAATCCTGAAAAATCCCTTAACTCTGAAGGTCTTTCCTCGAATAAGTATACTTCCCCATGCATCGCTTTGTATCCATCCCAATCATTTTCCGCTCCTCTAGCAGAAGCTCCAAATTTCTTTGCTCTCAATTTCTTTGCTCTCTTTCTTTGTGACTGGGTTGGAGGATGGATGAAAAACATTCTTCCTTGCCCTAAATAAGGAAACCTTCAGATGAGTAACTTTCTGGATTTCTGAGGTTCATACTCTTGTTGCTGGACTGTAATATGAAACAATGGTGCATAGGTCAGCTTAACTTTGATAAGTTACATGCTCTGAACAGTAGCTGTAAATCTGAAAGTCTTCCTGCAACTTTCACTGCTGTGCTGGCAGTTCTGGAATGAATAGAAAGCTCTCTATAAACTCACCTTCAGAAGCTTGAAGGATTCATGAGGCTCTAAGGACCCATTGAAAGGTTTAGGATGTTTCAGGAAACCCTATAGTCCAGCTGGCACAGAGGTTCTGACAACCTTAACAGAATTAAAGATGTTAGGGTTGTTGTGTGTGAGGATAGCAGGACTCTGTTATGGCTGAATTAAGGCAATAAATTAGTTCACAACAATCTGCTTGCTTCCCTAATGGGCTGGTAAGTATATAAAGTGGTGTTTTATATATTTACACATTTAAAATTTGTGCAGGCTAAGGACATTTATAGACAGTCTTCACTCCAGTCTTGAGGTCATACATGCAAACCAGTTGGGGTATAATAAGGAATGAACTCATTAAAGTAAATGGCATTAAATTGATTCAGAAAAACTAGACAGCCTTATTCGTTTCAGGATTGCTGATACAGAATATAATTGAAATCTCTAACCGATGCCAGTAAAAAACAGGGATGGGATTCTAGATGTGCTAGCAATACCTACAAAAGATTATGTTACAAACACAATTTTGAGCTAAATTTGTGAGCTGCCTTGTTTGAGACCCATAGCTACTAATATTTGAAGAGAAAAGATTTGCCCTAAAGTCTATCTAACCAGCTTTTCCCCTTTTTGACTTCATCTTCTTGGTCAGCATGATATTCGTTCTTTTCTTCCTATTGTCTTTGCTACCAATTGTACACAATTGTACTTAAACTACATACCTTTGGCTGAGTATTGCCCTAGGTCTTCTAGTGCCTTCATTTAAAAGCACTTTTGCTAGGTGGTAAGTAATAAATGGCACTTTTTCTAACAGGAGAAAACCCAGGTGAGAGCAGCTTTGTCACTGCTACATAGTACTATCACTGCTGGTCTTCATGCCATCTTTTTACTTTGATTTTTGTTAAAGTTATCACACTGGGGGATGTTTATTGTGCCCATTTTAGTGTTTCCAATAAAGTGCTGAAGTTAAAAAGCCTCCTTGGGTGCAGGCACGTACAGCTGTGATAGCTCTTGACTGAACTGAGGAGCAACATTTTTCTCAGGACTCATCAGCTTGCAGGCAGTTTCTTCTCACTTAGAGAGAGATGGGAGAGCAAATGGCTGTGAAAGAATTTCCACAGCAGGAGAAGAACTGGAGAGAGGGAAGCAGCGGGTGAAAAAGTGGGAGAGAGAGAGAAAATATTATACAAAAAATATATATCTATGCAAAGTGTCCATAGAACCACAGCAGGAAAATATTAGGTTGTTCCTTGGATTGTTTGGGCTTCAGCCTGGCTGCTATTAAGGCTGATGAGGTGTATCTGTAAAATTGTAGTTTCCAAAATAAGTACTCTGTTCAAAAGGAATGGCTCTGAGCACTAGCCTTTGCGGCACTGATTCTATTGCTAACATAAAGTACACTGGAACCCATCTAACTGGGTAAGCTCAGAGTACTTAGACCTGGCATATAAAGCAGCTTGCAGATAAGTGCACATTTAATGTTAATCGGATCCTTAGCCCTGCCTGTGTGCAAATCAGTTGCTCAGAGAACTGAATCCCTGCAGAGTGGTGACTTCGAAGGTGACTTGCTAGTGAAAAAGTAAGGGTTTGTGTTGCCAGCCAAGGTGCCCCAAGTCATTAGACTAGCTGAAAAAAATCCTGAAACAAGATAGTTGTCATTTATAATTGTGTTAGGGTCAGTAGTAATGGGCAATAAAACAAACAGGTTAGGAATTAAGGCTATTTGATGCAATCAAGATCAATTGGCAAGTTGATCTAGAAGTAGCTATCACTGAAACTAAACTGGAAATCATTCTCCCCCCCCCCATCTATTTTTCACCTTTATGTACACATTGCAGAGCAATAAGAACACATTGAATTTCAAACCACATGGCAAACAACAATTCACATTTATGCCCTTCCATATATGTGTTCCATTCTGTCATTTCCTTTACCTTGATTCAGTCTGATTCAGGTGCTGTGGGAATGATTTGATAAGGTGCATTGAGTGGGTGGGGAATTAGAAGAAAATGTGTATTTGTTCAGCCAGTGTGGAGAAGCCTGTGAAAAGGCTGTGATAAAAGAAAATTTTCAGGTATCTATTTCTCTCTAATATCAAGGAATAGAGAACAAAGGTTCTAATTTCAGAACTCCCACATTTAAAAATACTAATACTGTAGTAGTACCCACAGAGAAGCCCATATCAGATCAGGCCTGAGTGATGTGGGGGGCATAGCTTAATTACCGCTAACACACAACCCCCCCCCCAATTTAATGTTGCCTCAGGCCACTCTTTCTTTGCCCTTTTGGGGTAAATCTTTCAGATACCCAGTTGTTAATCATACATTATTGCTTGGAGGACAAGTAGTAACTAGTAGGGTCGGTTCATATGGAGAGCGGCGATCCTTGAGATATTGTGGGCTTCAGCCATTTAAAGCTTTATAGGTCAAAACCAGCACTTTGATTTGGGCCCAGAAACTAATTGGCAGCCAGTGCAGTCAGGCCAGAATTGGTGTAATAGGCTCAAACTTTCTTGCCTCAGTGAGCAACCTGGCCACCGAATTCTGCACCAGCTGAAGTTTCCTGCCTTCAGAGGCAGACCCACATACAGTGGTGCCTTGGGTTAAGAACAGCTTAGTTTATGAACAACTTAGATTAAGAACGCTGCAAACCCGGAAGTAGGTGTTTTGGTTTGTGAACTTTACCTTGAAAGCAGAACATGTTCTGCTTCCTGTTGAGTGTGTTCCATTTGTAAATTGAGTCCCTCGCTGCTATGGGAAAGCACACCTTGGTTTAAGAACACTTTGGTTTAAGAACAGACTTCCGGACCAGATTAACTTCATAAACCAAGGTACCGCTATATAACATGTTGCAGTAATCTAACCTAGAGGTTAACAGAGCACAGAAGTTAGGTTATCCCTGTCCAGATAGGGGCACAGCTGGGCAACAGCTGAAGCTCATAGAAAGCACTTCAAGTCACCAAGGCCACTTGACTCTCAGACGACAGCAAAGGATCCAGAAGTACCCCCAAACTACATTCTCGCTCCTTCAGAAGAAGTGTAACCCCATCAAGAGCAGGCAGACACCCATTCATCTGGTCTAACAGTGCCTCAGTATTATCTGGATTGAACTTCAGCTTGTTGGCTCTCATCTGGTCCATTAGTGAGGCAAGACAACTGTCTAGCACATCCACTGCTACACCTGCAGACGTAAAGGAGAAGTAGAGCATTATGTCAGCATACTGCTGACAATGTACTCCAAAGCTCTGGATGACCCCTACTCTGCAGTTCCATGTAAACAGCATGGGGGATAAAATCAAACTGAGGAACCCCACATTGAAGCTAGTTTTTGTCAGTCAAGAATGGTTGAAAAAACTTAACCACCTATATTGCAAGGCATGTTCTGATGAGTGTATGGCAGAGGCTGACCCAGCAGAGGGAGGCCAGTGATTTATGGCATTTGGTGCGTGCCACCTGTAAGGCAAGAACCAGGGTGGAAGGAAGGGGAAGAGTCTGAGCAGTCAGAGACGGAGGAGGGGGTACAGGATGTGTTGGAAGCAGAGGAAGAGGCTGTTCAGGCAGAGCAGGGGCCAGGCTGGCTGAGTCCCCGCTGTCCACTGCCCCACTGTCTCCTAGAACCAAGAACAGCTTGAAGAGGGAAGCACCATTGTGACGTCCATGCAGAAGACTCAGGTTGTGTGCACACACTCCATCAGATGAGGGTACATAAGCCCAGTTGTGTGTGTGGTCCTACTGTTGCTTCAACTACAGTGGTGCCTCGCAAGACGAAATTAATCCGTTCCGCGAGTCTCTTCGTCTTGCGGTTTTTTCGGCTTGCGAAGCACGGCTATTAGCGGCTTAGCGGCCAATGGCGGCTTAGCGGCTGTTAACGGCTTAGCGGCTTTAAGAAAAAGGAAACAAACTCGCAAGAACTCGCAAGACGTTTCGTCTTGCGAAGCAAGCCCATAGGGAAATTCGTCTTGCGGAACGACTCAAAAAACGGAAAACTCTTTCGTCTAGCGAGTTTTTCGTCTTGCGAGTTTTTCGTCTTGCGGGGCACCACTGTACTCTGCCAGACACAAACCCGGGAAAGTTCATGCCAGCTATATATTCTCTAGAAGTGTGTGTGTGTGCGCACAGTGCACTTTAGGAGCTAGTGTAAGTGCATCCTTTTGTCAATAAAGAATTAACTATCAGCTCCTTGACCTATTTGGCTGGGTGGGTGCAGGACAATTTCTTTGTATTTCTCCAGAGAAGAAGGGATCATTCTCATAAATCTCTGACATTTCAAATGTATATAGATTTACTCAATGTAGTAAATTAGGTTATAACTTCAATTCACTGATGAGGCATTAATATCTGTGGACCAACTGCAAACTTCTCAATTAACAAACCACAATGAAACTCTGTACATTAAGTTCAAATATGCCTTGTCTAGAGATTTAATTCATACAAGGCAAATGGGTATATTTTTAAAGCTCCCATTAATGCATTGGGTTTGAAAAAAGAGGAAATGGCTTTTTTGTAACTTTTGGTGCAGAATTTCCATGGAGGAACCCTGTGGCAAAATGCTGCATGTACAGGACATCAAGGGGAAAAAATAAAAGTCAGAAGCAATATTTCAGAAGCTCTCTGCCAAGATTTTCTGTAGAACCCTGTATAGTGCAGTATTCTGGGTATTTTAGGAAGAGATCAAAGCGAGGCAGAAAGCATAATCTAACGGAAGGCGTTTGGGCCATGGGATAAAAGGAAGGAGCTTATGAAAGAAGATGACAAGAGTGTAGAAGATGCCCTCATCAGAGCTGACACAGGTTCTTAAAAAACAAACAAAGCAAGAACACAGATTGTCACAATCAGCCTAGCTGTCCCATCCTGAACAGAGACAATCTGAATGGGTCTGAGGGCAAATGAATGTCTTGTGAAATTCACAAAAGAAGCATTAATGTGGAGCTCTGCAGAATCATAACAAGCAAAAGCTGCCATGAAGCTTAATGTGCATGCCATAAAAGCAAAGGAACAGACTTTCAAATCAAGTATTTTAATTGAAAAGGCACTGAAATGCAATCAGAAGCTGTTTATGTGCTACAAGAAGCTTTCAAGTTCTCTCTCTGTGTGTGTTCAGCATGCATGTGCTTAATAAAACATAGATGCCAATGCCTGATATAGATTTCCAGGTTTCTCTAATCAAATTAATCTGAGCTTCGGTTAGGTAGAATTCATTTCACACAGCATCTGGAATAAAAGGCCATTTCAGCAAGTTAAGTTAGAAAGAGTTTATTAACTTGAAGCTGTTATCAAAAAAAATGGGAGCTATGTGCTCTAGAAACATAGATTTGATGCTGCACGATGATAGAAGACTATCCTATTATTGCTTCATGTAGCAGAGCCATATGTTGACTCTGGCAGCACTGAGTCTCAGTTGCTTTAGAAACAACTGGAATAGTTTGCCACATAGAGACACACAAGAAAAGAAGACATGAGACACGAGTTGGAATTAATGGGCAACAACTTTAGAATTGATGGGCAACAAGTTTAGAAAGTTAGTAAGATTGGCAACAAGCATTTTATCAACAAGCTAACTCCTCCTCGGTGCGGTTTCATGTGAGAGTTGGGAAAATGATTCTCCCACTGTGAAACTGCCATTCCATCCCTGGCTCTGAGTACCAGAGCAGTCCGCTTTCTGATCTGTCTTTCTCCTTGACGGCTTAACCTAAATGTATGTGGAGGCATTGTCTGTGATTGTCAGTTGTAGGTGCCCTGAGTCAAAGAATGCCCAAGGATAGGAAAAGCACTTCCTGCCATTTAGCTGTAAGAGGTTGGTTGGATAAGTGCCTCTTCACCATAAAGAGGCCTCAGGGTGCTCTCATCCAGGGTAGCCTAATCTCCCTACTTTAGCCTGCAATGTCATCCATATTTCTTTAGAGTATATCCCATTGAACCCAGCATCACTTGCTTCTGTATAGACATGCATAAGATTCCTGTACCTGCAGCTGTACCAAATTAATGTTGCCTCCTAATCAGCCAAATGTTCTTATTCCCTCAACATTACCACAGCATGGAAAGGGGGGGGGGGCTCTGAATTCCTACTAATCCCATACTGTAAATTTAGGCAAGTTTAGCCTTTTAAGACTACTGGTGTCTCTCCTCTCGTTGGATGGCATGTGCTGCTTGCCATGCTCACCACAGCAGCACAAGGGCTGCAAGGTTGTGTGTGCCAAATTTTGCCAAGGGCCTCCAAAAAGGCATGAAGGGACCACCCTACTTTATAAACATCCTGAAAAGTAAGCCCTGCTAAATTCTGTTGGACTTGCTACTGCATCGGCATATCTTCAAAGAAGTAACTACCACTGAACTACCACCCTGTAAAAAAAAGGAAAGAAATGAAATTTGTCTGGCAGGGCTTGTTTTTTGAGAAACCCATTCTTACTCTTAGTACAGTCATACTTTGTGTTACGTCCGCTTCATGTTACATTCTTTCAGGTTACATCCTGCGGCAACCCGGAAGTACTGGAAAGGGTGCGCAGAAGCCTCATGCATGCGCAGAAGTGAAAAATGACATCACACGCATGCACAGAAGCAGCGAATTGCAACCCGCGCCTGCACAGACGCGCCACTGCGGGTTGCACTCTTTTCATGTTGCGAATGGGCCTCCGGAACGGATCCTGTTTGCAACCAGAGGTACCACTGTAATTACAGCATCCTTTTCTAAGTGCTCGCAGACCGACTGTTTAATTATTGGTTCTAGTACCTTTCTTGGTATCGACATCAAAATGACTGTTTGGTAGTTAACTAGGTAATCCCCCCCCCCATTCTCCCAGAATTCTCAAAAATTATAGACAGATTTTTATCACATGGTGGCTATCAGTTATTCTCATATACTGACATGGACTGTTATCCTACTCCTTGTGTTAAATTTGTTCTGACAAATGCAGTTGCCTCCTGGATGTGGCATTGTTTTGCTGATTGACTGAAACACTCTCTCTTTGGCATAAATACAGGCAGGACACTGCAGTCCTCGTTGCTTTGTTCACTTAGAGGGGCAATGCATGCAGTTTCTGTTAAACCAACTCTTGTTGTTTATCAGAGTGTGGATGTAAGATTCACAGCCATCCTGGGATGATGTTAAACTCTGAAGCTGAGATAATATAAAAAGCTGGAAAACAAACATTGCACTGCAGTTTTGAACCATTTGAACAGAAAGTCCATTTGATTGCTCTAAGATACTGATTATTTACTAACATTCAGATATCATCCAAAGTCACGTCCAGGATTTTAGGAGCAGAGATACTGGTTGGTCTAAGTAAGGACCCAGAGCAGAAGCCAGCAATTGCTGTTTGTCAGTCAAAGTCTTCTCTTTCCCAAGCTGTACTTGGAAATAGGAAGCAAGACAAGTTGTATGAGTCTCAAGACTATGCTTCAAGAAGGGGAAGGCCACTCAAGTAGTTATGAAGTGGGTCAGTTGAAGAATAGCTACTGTTATCTAGCTTGGTTTCTTTCCTCTTGAGGAAACCATGTTATCCAACTTGTCGAACAGCTCCCTAAGCCTTGACAGAACAGCTCCCTAAGCCTTCACAGAGGAGAAATTAATTCTGTGCAAATGTATAGGATTGCACAGTAAACCACTCATCAGTGGTGGCAGAAGTAGGGCACAGATTGCTTCTGAAAAGTCTACTAGCAAGCCATGAATGTAGGTGCCCTTCCCTACAGTTTGGCCTCAGAATTTTTTATTTGCAGATTTATAAGCTATTTCGCAGCCAGCAGTTACTAAAGCAGTGCACAATGAGATGAAACAAAATACAAAATATTGTTATTATTATTTATTTCTTTAATTTGTTAGTTGCTTTGTCTTGCCCATGTCAAACCCAAAGCAACTTACAAAGTTTGCAAACTAAAAGTAATAAAGTCACTTCTACAATTGTACGATTATTATTCCATAATTTAACTGAGCGACTGTTTCTTCTATTATACCACTATTTATTTATGCTTCTATCTGGCATTCAAATACATACAAACAATGAACCTGAAGGTCCAATTTAGCTATCTTGGCTAATTCAGTTTTAGATGACCACTCACTTTTTCGAAGCCAGCAGACTGAATGTGGTGCCTGAGCCAATCAAACACTGTAGCATTTCCATTGCAGCTGAACTTTCCAGCTTTCTTATTTGTTTTCCTCAGAATGCAAAATAGCCTGCAGATCCTTATTACAAATGCCATACATTTTGGTTTTAAAGTCAACCCCTTCACCTTGTCTAGTCTTGTTTGACTTTTCCTTCTTTTCTATTTCAGTCTTTGCCTGTTATCTCTTGATTTAATAGAGCTTTAATGGATCCTGCATAAAAATGAGTTTAAAATAGGCAAAGAAAAAGTGTTTGTGTGTTTAAAAGTATCTTCTGACTTAAAAAAAAATAATAATCTGTTCTTTGTTGTTGTTTTTGAAGCCAAAACCAATTTGGAATTGAGTAATGTTATTTATCTGTGTTTATTTTAAATGAAAAACATTGGCGTGTCCACTGTAATATGGGGATCTGATTTTTATGCAACACTATTTAACTACCCGACATGTTCAAGGAGAAACTTTAACAGATTGCTAGGGGCAGACTGTAAGCTGGAGCTGCTTTGAGAGCCTGCTATAAATATTCTGCTTCTTTTAGTGGCACTACTGAAAGCTGGCACAATGCCATGCAAAATGCTCAGGTATAAAATAAAATATGGCCAGGTATTAAAAGGGCATTTTCTCACCCTTTTTGGTATTTATTCATTATTTGTCTTTATAACCTGCCCTTCAGCAAATGGCTCCAGCAAGCTTCAGAAAAGCAAAATTTAGTACAATAGTCAAATAAAATCATTAGTAGAAACCACAAAACCAACCGATATCAGAATAACAAAAGAACTGTACAGAACTGCAGTGGAAAAAAAAGTATGATCATGTTAGTGTGATAAATGTCTTGAAGAACTGCTGAGTAATTTGGTGGTGTGTATTGTTACCTTAGTAAACGACGGATCTTATTTTTATTGCAATCAATAAGCTGGATGCTTGTGAATCAACCAATGCCCAGTTTTCTATGGGAATCTAAGGATTTATTGAGGAAAATCATTCTACAAGAGCATAGCGACTTGGATCCAAAAGTGGCTTGTACTAGTGGAAAGGCACTGTTGCCTGAGCAGGGCAGCTAAAGCATAAACAAGCCAGTATATAAATTAGAAAAGATTTCTGGATAGTTTCATTTATTTAAAGAATTTATATCTCACTGTTCAGCCAATAAAAGAAAGAAAAGGCTCCCAGTGGTTTACAAATGACTACAGTTCTGAGAAGGCGTGTAGCATAGTGTTGGCCTAGGATCTGGGAGACTAGAGCTCAGATTCCCACTTGGCTATGAAGCTCACTGGGTGATCTTGGTCCAGTCACTGTCTCTCAGCCTAACCTACTTCACAGGGTGGTGGCTGTTATGCTTTGAGTGAACCGTACATTTCTTCCAGATAAAACTGCAGCAACACAACAATAACATACAGAAAGTGAATTTATTGATTAGCTTGGTTTTTTGTTTTTAAATGATTATAAAAAGAGCAGGACTGAGTTTCTTTGTTTTCTATGCTTTAGTGAACTGATATTCATGGATAATTTCTTTGAAATATTTGAGTCCTTAGACAATGTAACGGGGAACCTGTGACCCTCCAGAAGTTGTTGAACTCCAACCTTAATCCAGCCATAGGGACCAAGGAAGATGGGAATTGTCATCCAACAACATCCGGAGGGCCATTGGTAGCCCACCCCTGATGTACCACATACTACGTTCCACTGAGTGTATTTCACGCACACAATAAAAAATAATTGACCACCCATAAAGAAATTACAGCAGAAGGTTTGGGAAAAGATACAGTGCATTTATTGAGAATTGTAAACAAGAGTGCGATGGATGGAACCCCATTCAGGCAGCATACAAACTGCTGCTGTTTTTATTATACTTGATGGTACAAGGTAAGGTAAAAAGAAGGACAATAATGATGATACAGCATTTACAGTTTCAGCCACTGAAAATGAAAAACCACAGTAGCCTAATTCATGATGAGATGGCCAGTTACATCACAATTTTACTCCTGAGCAGTGATATTATTAATCGGTTTCCCTGGAAGCCAGCAGCTGTGAAATACTGTGCCCATTAAAGATACAGGCAAGTCGAACATGTTGCTTATAAAATATTTATCCACAGTTTAACACATTTTAAAGTGTGTTTCTTATCAATGACTTTAAGAGACTGAGTGCAAAGGCGTGAAGCCATGAACTTTAAACAGCAAACAGATTCCTATGAGAAGATAGTATAGCATATACTATATAACCATTAAAAGCAATGGACACACTGTTACGCAGGGTACTTTCATCAATCTCTTTACATTCTGTTTTGTATTTCATTACAACATCTTCTAAAACTCAGCATTAAGTCCACATAAAAATCTTTAATCTATGTAAAAATAATAACTCAACAGAGCAAACTGCAGAGAGTACGTCATCTCTAATACTTTGTGATTAGAAACTTTGAAATCAAAGCTCCCGTCTTTCAAAAATATTGACATTTTAAATATACTTCAGTGCTTCGTATGTTTGAGAGTCTGTTGAAATAATTTGATTACCATACATTGATGTATCATTTGTTAAAGTTTCTCAGATTGCAGAATCACTTCAATTTAGTCTGATAATCAACACCAGCAATTAAGGATCTACAAGAATTGTTAAAACAGGGGTGGGGAACTTGTGACCTTTCAGATGTTACTGGATTCTCATCATCCTTAGTCAGCATATTACTAGTCAAGGATGATAGAAGTTGTAGTCCATGACATGAGCACCCACATGGATTTTTCCAGGGGCAGGTGGATTAAAATATTGAACAGTGGGAACAGGCTAGTTTCTCACCCAAAAAAGTGAGAAGAATTGTGCCTGTTCATTTTTCCTCATATCTCTGGTTCTACAAATATACGGACCTTTGTCGGCAAGGTGATGTCTCTGCTTTTTAAGATGCTGTCCAGGTTTGCCATCGCCTTTCTCCCAAGGAGCAGGAGTCTTTTAATTGTGTGGCTGCTGTCACCATCTGCAGTGATCATGGAGCCCAAGAAAGTAAAATCTCTCACTGCCTCCATTTCTTCCCCTTCTATTTGCCAGGAGGTGATGGGACCAGTGGCCATGATCTTCGTTTTTTTTTTTTTTTGATGTTGAGCTTCAAACCATATTTTGAGAGCCAGTGTGGTGTAGTGGTTAAGAACAGTAGTCTCATAACCTGGGGAACCGGGTTCGCGTCTCTGCTCCTCCACATGCAGCTGCTGGGTGACTTTGGGCTAGTCACACTTCTTTGAAGTCTCTCAGCCCCACTCACC